AAAAAAAAAAAAAAAAAAAAAAAAAAAAAAAAAAAAATCCAATTGGCAAAATATTTAACTATTTAAAAGGCAGTATTTTTGCAAAAATGAAACTATTCCACATTAGAAATGGAAGAATGTCTTCACATTTAGGTATTTAAATACATGAAGATACTGACTTGGGTCCTCGTAGTTTATATAACTGTAGTTTATTGTCTTAAATTTACATACGTTGAAAATAGCTTCTTAAAAATGACTGTGCCAGCAAAATCCATTTTCCCCATTTACTAATGTCTACATGTTATGAAATAGTTTGGGCTTTTAAATTTCTTGCTGCTCTGCCCTTTTGTCTCTACTCCAGATCAGTACCTATTAACAATCCTACCTCACTGACAACTAACATACCATCACTTGTTTATATTTTGACTTTTTCCACTTTGAATTCTTTGTTACAATGGAAGTTTGATAATACCAGCTGGTTTTACAAGAGGATTTTGCAATAAGATAGGATATTAACAATCTGCAGTTATGTTAATGTTGTATCAGAACATGCTGCTTCATGGGTGTATAATATTTTGTAGGATAAAATATCAAGGAATCATTTTACCCCAATTCCAACACTAGAAAAAAAGTACAGTAGTCATGAAATGTAATGAAAATAAAAGCTATGAGTAAATTATTCATACTGAGTTTTGTTTATTACCAGACAAACTCCCTTTGAAGGGCCAGATTTCTGTTCCATAAGGACATACCCAAAGCTGCTGGGCCAGTCAAGAATTCATTAGTGCAGTCACCACAGCATGGCCCAAGGCCCCTTCCTACCATGCATGACATGTGGAACAATCCTTAGGAACAACTAAGAGCCAGTGTAGCCCTTAACTCCACCAGAAAACTCATCTGATGCAAAGGTGTAGAGGCTGTGGGGAAACCCACCATTCCTCTGCTTCTCTCCACTCAATGAAGCCAATGAATTTGTTCCAAATGCTAAAGTCAAGATGTCCAAAACTCTGATTACACAGAGGTAATCCAAGATGCGTACATGTCTCTATCCAGATACTCAATGTGAACTATGAGCTGAAAAAACACACCTGTTTTTTGGAATACACCCTTAGCTCAGGTTATGAATGAGGAAACTGCATATTCCATGCACAAGAATGCAATATGCTCTGTCAACTCGTATGCAGCTTGAGGTTATTAACTTTGTTATTTTCAGATGTGCAAAGTGAACATTCCTTACTGGCAAGAATGAAAATTTAAGACAAGATTGTGTGGCTTATTCTATGCACAAGGCAGGCAGCCTCAAACTTTCTACTGGTAGTAATTAGGCCAAGCCAGAGTCTTTCTACTTCTCATACAACTCTTTCTGAGAGTCTTTTTTAATATAAAGTACCTGAATTGTAGCTGGAAAAAAAAAATTACATCTACCAGGAGACTAGGGAAGAGGGCAAAGAAGGACCTGCGTTACCTTAGTTCTTTTTCTCCCTCTCATTCAAAATTATGAATTTTAAAAATTGTACAGCTGGTGCAGTACAATATGTAGAGATGAGTGCCACAGAAATATATGCAGAAATGTATGCACTTTTGCATACCTATAAAATACAACATTTCTCCAAACACAGATTAACTCAGAAATGATAGGAATTCTATCAAGTACATACACCTAGAGCAGGGCTTTTCAACCTTTTTTAGTCTAAATACCCCTGGCAGCCAGATGCCGAGTGGGAGTGGGGAGGGGGAAAGCATGCAGCTGGACACAGGACAGGGAGATGGGGATGGCACATGGACAGGCGGGGACAGAACACCACTGCATCCCAGGAACAGGGCTGAGGTGGGGTGGGGTGGGCTGGGAGACTCACTGGCATGGGTGAGGGCAGCGGCATCCCTTTGCGGGTTGGGGAAGCTCACCGGGCTGGTGTGTAGTGGCGGCAGCTGCCACATGTGAGCTTTGCTGCCCCGCGGGGGTGGGGGGGGCGCTGCACCCCAGCCCTGCTCCTGGGAGGCAGTGGCACTCCGTCCCCACCTGCCCATGCATAACCCCTAGAACCAGCCCAAGTACCCCCAAGGGTATGCGTACCCCTGGTTGACAAACCCTAACCTAGAGCAATTAACAGTTGGAAGCCCCTCTGGGCTCAGAACAAGCATGTAAATCCACAATCGCAAACTCCTAAAAATGACCTTCCAATGAAAAAGTTTTACATAAAAATTATTTTCACAAGTGAAAAATATATTCCATACGGGCTCTCTCATTTGCTTTTTAGGTCTGGTCAAGAAACTTCAAACCAGAAGTTTTCCACTGAAAAATTCAGTTTCACTGAAATCAAAATACTGTATGTCAATTTTGACATAACTTTCAATGGAATAAAGCTAAAACAAAGTATACCTTTTGTATAACCATTGAAACATTTCTTTAGCTGAGCACGAAATGGTTCATATTACATTTTCATTTTTATTCACTTAGTTTTACCTATATGATATTAAAATGACAATTGATAGTCACTTCAACTTAAATTCCTAAATGATTTGGTTGCTTTTGAAAACGGAACTGAAGCTCCTAGGCTACTGAGACACACTTCTGAAAATCTAAAGCCAAATAAGTCAGTTTCCTAGAAAAACAGCTACAGATTCTGATGAGCTGAATTTCTCATTGGCATCAGGAGAATCATGCACTTAAATTGGAAGGCGAGTTCTCCCTTGTTGATGGAAGTACACGCAGTCAATGGTAAGAGCCATGTGGCTTAAAAAACCTTTTAGGCTTACAGTCTCACTCCACAGTTTATGCAGGGAAAGAAAAGAAGCCTTGCAGGCTGAAGATGTGCATCCACCAATACCAATTGGAGAAGAAGGAGCTCCCCAGTATAAGCATAAAGTTAAATTTCTTCTACAGCTGTAACTGGGTAAGAGGTTTGGTGCTTTCCTTAAGTGATAAGAAACAAGAGAGCCCCACTCTGAGGATTTAGTTCTTCAGACAGCCCAAAAACTAAACAAGATTTGTCTTCTGTCTTTACATCTAAACCACACAAAGGAATTAAGTCAAGCCTATGAAGAAGTACTTGGTTTTTGGTAGTGGCAGAGTGAGGAACAAGAGAGCAAAGGAACAAGAGAACTTTTTTATTCCTGTTCTACATGTCCCTGAAATGCAAGTCCTTATGGGCTTTTGCCCATAAAACAGGCTAAACCTCTCTTGCACATATACTAAATTATTATGGATTTAGTATCAATGCCCTTTTGGGATCTGTATGGCCCAAAAGGCAGAGGACCTTTCTAACGGAAGAGCATCCTAAGTTTGGCAGAGCTCTGCAAACTTCCCCATCATAAACCAAAAAAAGCAGTTCACTACACCTGAGATCATACTTCTCACTGAGTAAGGGATATACTTATTAAATGTGACACAAGTTAAATTACTGTGTCCCTTTATGCCCTTGTCAGATCCAAAGAACAGAACATTTTCTCTGCTTGCTTTTTAGTTTCTTAAACTGATGGGATTTTCTTTTTAAAGATTCTTAGGCATTTTCCGTGTTTTTGTCTTTGTTTATTTGCAGCATTGTGCATTTGAATTTTAGTTTCCTCTTTACATGCATATCAAGTATGGTTTTTCACTCTTTTTTTTTTTTTAAATCTCTTTTCACATTCATCTCTTTCAAATCAAGTACTAAAGCCTCAGAATCATACTGGTTACAAGTACATTGGAGAATTCAAGGAGCCAAGAAGTATGCAAGTGGTATTTCAGTTTGCCCTACTGCACACTATTCTTAGTTCTTTAGCATGCCTACTCAGGGGTAAATTATACATGTCACAATCTGTACTAACACTATTCCATGATGCATAGACTGTTAATGAATTGTAACCTTATTCTTTGCTTACTTTAAAGTTTGAATGTTAATGGTACAAACCTCTGCAATGAAAAATTGAAGTCACCCAACCTTCCTGATTATGTTTGCCACATATTTTATACAGACCTAAGAATGATTTCTTTTTAAGGTCAAGTAGTATGCAGGAGTTTGAATCCTCTGGAATCCTTTGAGTTATTCTGAATTCCACGAGTTGTAAGGCTCCTTGAGAAATACTTTGTATTTTGCTACATTTCTAAGGGTTTAAAAAATGAAGTGGGCTGAGTCAGTCATGCTTTTACCTTAGTAGTAGATACTTACATTTTCTATGATTAATTCTGCCTCTTCTTCTGTTTTTCCAAGGAACTTTAGTCTCATGTCATTGAAAATTAACAGAGTCTCTCTTGTCAGTGCCTCTTCTTGCTCTTTTGTTTTCTCTTGTAGTAAAGACTCGCTCTGAAAGTTGATATGAAACAGTATTTATAAAGAGTCAGTGATTTCATTTGTGTAATTTTATCAGATCACTATTTGAAAAATATTTTCTAGATTAAAATATCTATTCCCAAAGAGAGGAAAATTAATCCTTTTAAAAAAAGGATTGTATACATTATATGTGCATAATATATAGATGAGTATATGTACACTAACATGTTGTGGGAAGAAACGTGTCCAGAACTGAAAAGGAAACCATAAGGCAAAGATGTTTCAGAGAGATGATGAGCAAAAAAATGTATCTGGTCTTTATGATGTGCACATATTGAACAACAGATTTTAAATTTTAAATTTTACTGGTGTTATTTCTTGCACAGAAAGGATTCATCGCTAGCCACCAAAACTCTGGCAATGTACCTCTGTTCTTCACTGTGACATCCTCTGCTTTCCATTCCTAAACTTGACAGCTAAGTACAAGCAATCAATCATGTGAAATTACGCCACATTTCCATTTCCATCCATTCATTATGATTAAAGGTGAAATTTTGCCCCTACTGAAGTCAATGGAAATTCTATAATCGACTTTAAATGGGCCAAGAATTCACAGAAATGTAGACTTAGATATGGACGTGTGGGCCATCAAGTCCAGTCCCCTGCAATTTCAGATAACCACAGAATAGATCATAAAATGAATCCAAAGTGTTCTACGGCTAGAGATAGACATTACACATAAACTAGTGTAAGTGATCAGAAACTCCTTTAAACCTGTAACAGAACAGACATTCAGTGCACATAAACCAGTTTGAAAATAGCTGAAACTGGTTTGAGATAAAGTGGATTGAATGTAGTATCAGAATTAACAGATTTGGCTCAAACTGGTTTATACAATGTCTGTCCCAGACCTCTTGATGGGGTAAGTTGAGGAAGAGATCAGGAGCATCCCAGCATGCTCTCTGGGCTGGGTGGGGCTCTCTGCTCAACAGCTGGGCTGGCCTCTTCACTCTGCTCCTTAGCTGGAACAGGGGTGGGGCGTGGCCAGACTCTGGCCTGCCATGGCCCCTGAGGCAAATTCCTCCCTCCATCCCCTCTCCCCCCTGCTGGCAAACCCTGCAGACCGCAGCTGGGGTTTGCCAGCCCCAGCCACACCTCCACAGTTTTCCTGCAGCCAGGCAGAGATGGAGTTAATTCCTCCCTCTGTCCAGATTGCCTGCAGCCAGGGAAGGCATTAATTCCACAGTGATACTAGAGCAGGAGAGAGAGGTAAGCTGCACCTGTAAGCCCAGAGCTAAGATATGCAGAACCAGACTGAGAGGTGAGAAGCCTTGGCAAAAACCTGAAAATCATCACACATATGTGCTGGAGATGGAGTTAAGGGAAGTTGCAGACATCTTCTGGCTGGAAGTTGTAGACCAAAGAATGCAGAGAGCTACATTTACATTATAAAGAAGAACCTGTAAAACCTAAACAAAGCCTTTCTGAATGTCTGCCTGTAAGGAGACACTCTGCCCTCAGGATTAGTAAGGCTTATGCAAGGCTTTCTCTTGTCTTCCTGCTTTACATTTTAAATTAGACTAAGCTGTGTATGCTGTGTTTTACTGGGCATTATCTTAGCTTAGGCAAAGATTTTTGGTAGTTCCCTGTTGTATTGAACACGGCAATTTGCAAAGCATACATGCTTGCTTCAGAGAAAGGACTTTTTTTCCCATCCCCACTCCTCAGTCTGGCAGCAGCTTCCTCCCCCACCCCCAGCAGGTGGCTGACATCCTGTGTGTCCTTGCTAGCCCCAGCTGGTGCCTGGCCATGCCCCCTGTGCTCCAGCAGGGAGGGGTGAGAGCCTTGGAGGATCTCTCTCTACCCTTCCCTTTGACAGTGGCTGGCAGACATGCTCTAGAGCCCCCTGGCTTCTGCCTTAAGCCACTGCAGGCATGTGCCTGCATTTCCTGATTTAACAGAGAATGTCTGTCCAGTTATTTATCATTTTAAGCTGTACAGCTTAGACTAACCTGCAAAAAATCAATTCTGGCTCAGGCTTTTTGGACGTCTGTCCCTAGCCTATAAGAATATCCACTGCAGTCTTTCCTCTACGCTGTAAGCCATAAAAAAAAATCTCCCAAAGCTGTACGACAAGCTCAGGATCTTTTAATACAGACAATCAAAGGCCGCAGAAACTATACTGACTGATAACAATGCCTTAAGCCCCAGTAAAGGCAGAGGATTCCCAGAAAATCTGAGAAAGTAGACCATGGTTTATACTACAAAAATAAAATAAATAAATAAAAATAAAAAAAGTTTAGAAAAATCCCAACCAACCTGACTTGGGGAAGGGGACTCCAGATCTAACAGTTGGTTTAACCCTAAGTATTTGAGCAAGACAACAGCCAGACTCTAAGAATGTTTCTTAGTACCACTGGAAGCTCCTGCCTAAATTCCCCCTCCCCCCTGGAAAAAAAATAAGACAAGAAAATCAGAAGCCAAGTTATAGATCAAAGGGCTAAAATTTCTTTATGGCCCTTTCAGACAACCTGCAGCTGCTCTGAAGTACTGTATCTACAATTCAGCATGGAAATCTCATCTTAGATTTGAGTAAGAGTCAGGGCAGGCCGCAGCTGCACCTACCTGGGGGAGACCACTGGAGGAGGGAGGAGGTGCAGACAGACTAGCACAGGGGAGACTACACAATGCAGGGTGAGGGGAAAGCAGGGGAGATTGTACAGGGGTCAAGCACAGAGGACATCATGCAGATGTCCCCAGTTACCCAAGGTTGGTGCCTCTAAATTGTCTTGGAAAATTGCAGGGGAGCACCAAGTGAACACACAATTATCACAGCTTTCTTTGTCTCCAAGAACACAACTTAATCGTGCTCCCCATCAGCACATCATTTTCTGGAGCAGTCTTTTGGGAATGCAATGGGGAGATAGGGCTGAATGGATACCTGAAAGTCAGCTCCTACATGGACAGGAGAAATAGAGGAGATGCAGCAGGAAATATGGAGTGGGGAGGGGTGGGGGAAGGGTCAGGATTGGGTGAGACTATTCTGTTGCCACCACCTGACACTTGGGCACAGCAGGCCATGAGCCACCTGCCAGAACCATCCTAGCCCACTCTCCTGGACCAGAGTCAAAGCCTGGCAGTGTGCCTAGAAGATGGGAGTGGTAGCATTGTGACCAAGCGGTACCTGTGTAATATGGCCCCCATCCGATGGACATACCTACAGGTGCTCCTCTGTCCCCATGGTACTGCTATGTGCCCACAGCAGCATGTGAAGCTTTACTAGCATGTGCAGTGGCCTAGAGATTGGGCACACTCCCCTCACCACTGGAACAGAGAGGAATGGAGCCAGGGAGATGGCTTCCTGGCATAGGCTGCCATCAAGGAAGGGGCATGGAGTAACCTCAGCACAGACATGCAGAAAAGGGTCTCCAGGTCAGCAACTTCACAGTGCTTTTCCAGGGTTGAAGGTGGTGTGGAAACAGGGACCATACCTGGGGCCATCCACGGTGCTGATGGACATCATCCTGTGGCTTGATTGTGGTGTCACTGGAGCTGTCTCTCTTGCCCTGTTCCTCTTGTGTCCAGAACCTGGTTCACGGACAGTTTCTGGGACAATGATCTGTTGTCCAGCTCCAGCCACACCCCAGCTGCAGCAAGGTCCTGAAGCCTTCCTGGCCCTTCAGGGGCAGCTTGCTGTTCCACTCCCATCCTTGCCAACTAGGCAAAGTATGCCTGGGATCGTCTCTGTCTGATCATCAGGCTCTCAAGGGGGTACGGTTATCCCTGTACTTGACTGGAGCAGTGGAGCTGGGCATGAGTCACAAAAGGGCTCCTTGGAACCATGGGAGGAGGTGGAGCAAAGTATGCTGGGATGCCAGAGAACTGTGCCACAGCCTAGCATACAACCAGGAACTATACAGGCATTTGAAAAAAAAAAGTGTAAGAACCTCTTGCAGATTAGATATTCCTGGTTGGATGTGGAAGAATTTTCTCATGGATCCACATGAATACCTGGATGCTCATGACAGAGTAACATTTCTTCTGTTAGCAATGTCATGCCTGCCCAGAACCTACGTCTCTTTACAGCCCCCCTTTGGGGACATCAACAAACTGAATCCCATAAACTTTATATCACAAACTGCAATTGCTAGCTCCAAATCACCCCAACCTATCCTATTACACCTTATCAAGGTCTGACTTGAAGCTATTTAGGTTCCTTGCTTCCAAACTACCTTGTTGACCCCAGAAACCTATGCAACAAATAAGACTGTCTGTGATGTTCTACTTATTTTCAAGAGGATGATACAGGGGCAAACTTAGGCTGCTTGACACATTTTAAATTCAGTTACAGACATGTGCACATTTGGAGGCTTGGTATAGGCCTTCATTTTATCTCTGATAAAGGTGAGAGTTTAATTTGGAATTTCCAGTCTTATAATACCTATATATTTTGCAACAATGACACTTATTGTATTAAAAGTTTTTTCTGACTTACAATAAGTGATAGATATGTTCAAGCTTAACAAAACATTTTGCTATGTAATATATAATGATGTGGCTCTGAAATAATGAGGCAGCAGATACTTTGTTGACACTGTCAGCTCTTGTTTATCCATATTTGTAATTTGTCTTTGTGGCTTTCCAGAGTACAATTTTTTTATATTGAGTTTTCATATTTTTAATGCATTTGGTTTTTATCAGTCTAATAAATGGCGATATCAGTCACTAAAATATTCTCTCTCTCATTATTCAAAGAATTGATAAACAGGTACTTTATCATGTACAAATGACTGCTCTTGAACATACTAAAAATTATAGATAATCGGTTTTAGTTTTTCATTCTATCAGCAATATGCAAAATATTATTCTAAGTTGTAAAAACAATAATGCAATATTGTGAACAGTACTCAGTTCAGAGTTATCAGTAATCTCTATCACTGCTACTCTGTAAATCATTTCACTGACATTAGTTTAAGAAATGTGACCCCTGTTCTGCCATTGAAACATGATTGTTCTGCATTCAAGATCTCTCCCAGTGGGAGAAGCACTCCCAATGAAAAAATGAGTATGATTTCTTAATAATGTTCATTTAAGTGAGCAGCCCATTTTAATGCCATATTGTGAGAGACTAGTTTTAATCTTTCAGTAATTTGTATTTGATATAGAGTCGAATTAATGTGAAGAGAGAAATCCATATTAAGGCCTGTCTCATTAAACTCTCAGGGTATATGTCTTGATGATAAAAAGGTACTTTTTTAACCTGAGGTAGCTAATATGATATGAAACACACACAATTCTTCATGGTGAAAACATACTTTTAGTACCTTGGTAGTCCTGTAGCCTGAATTTAAAGATGGAAAACAATTAAGGGGAAGGTGGGGAGGTAGCTTACTTTTAGAAATAAATTTTTTAAAAGAACCATTTTTCATTCAGTGGCAAAACACACAATGATCTTTACAACTTATGTTAGAAAGTAAACACCAGAAGCAAACTAATTACTATCCCAAACTGATTTCTCAAAAATTCCCCTCACCTGGAGAGGGAGAGGCATTTAGGGCTGTGCAAAGTTTCAGTCACTGATTCGATTTGGAGGAGATTCTAATTGATTCACTGGCCAAATATCCAAACCAAATTGAATCAGGAGACCCATTAAAAGACCCAAATCGAATCTGAAGCCTCCAAGTCAATTCGGAAAAGATTCAGAGAGATTCGGATCAGCAGGGGAGAGGCAGGCACAGCTGGGCAGCTGCAGGTTCTCTCACGGCTCCTTCAGCTGTGCCTGCCTCTCCCCAGGCAGGGGGAGCTGCGGGAGAAGTCCCCATGGCTGCCCTGCCAGGCCCCATCCTCTGCCCGGCCCAGAGGACGATCACAGACAGGCTGGTTAAAGTCAGGTCACAACCTCAAACCCAGGGCCTCAGCCTACCCATCACAGTCAAAAATCCCAATCTTCTACCTCCCAGGCTGAGCATCTAGGCAGTATGCAGGTGGCCATGCAGGATCGGCTGATCGTTTACACCAGCGGTTCTGAACCTTTTTCAGTCAACGTACCCCTTGGTCTCAGAGTGAGACTTCACGTACCCCCTTTCAATGGGAAATTAATTTTGACCTGTGTTAGACCATGTATGAAATATATCTCATGTACCTCCTGATGAGGCTTCACATACCCCCTGGGGGTACATGTACCCCTGGTTCAGAACCGCTGCTTTACACCTTCCTATAAAATCATAGGACTCTGAAAAGAAAGCAACCAGACAACAGGGCTTAAACCTTAGCCAGGCTGGTTCATCCTTGCCTCGTATTTCTACTGGCTCTCTGACTAATCCCTTACAGTGTTAATACATGTGATCGGGGGGGGGAGCGCTTTAATTAGAGTGTCTCCAAAAGCCACTCTAAAGCACCTGAAGCATCTTGTATATCAGCATCCCTGCACTTGAAAATGGCAGCAGGAGTGCCATTTCTAAAGCCAGAATGACCTTTAGATAAAGTGCCCTCACACACTATTTTTGCTATTAATTGAGTCTGCTCCAACATGCTGTAATTAGTGTGTAGGAGCAGCCTCAATGATCATGTATAGGCGCCCTTAGCTAACAACCTGGCTTGCCCCCAGACTAAGGTTTCCATTTGACTCTTCATCTTTCTAATTTGACTCCTGGCTTAATCTCCTGAATGCCCAAAACCAGTTTCTTGACTCAGTTTCTCAGTCTGACCTCCTGGCTTCCTGACTCAGCCCATACCTAGATTCCACTTCCCTCCAGGTGGACACCATGTTCCCTGAGCGGTCCTCGATTTGGCAGCCCACAACACGACATGACAGTTGGAGAAGGTGGAAAATGTGCTCTAGAAATATGACTGTTACTATAATGCAAATACCCACACAACTCTATGTATCCACATGTTCTTGCCCTGTGTAACAAAAGATATTTTTGAAAAATCCTTTTATCTGGTCTTCCTTTGGTGTTAAAAAAATGTTCCTTTTAATTAGACTATTTGAGTCCCAGAGCTTATTTACCATACAGATGGGTTTCAAAATAAGGCAGGTATTGTTTTCACCTCAAAGAAAAAAAAAGCAAGAGCTATCTGGAGGTAAAGACATTGACTATTGTGTTTTATAGTGTCTTTTAAGACTGATGCAGCTAGTTTGAAGGCAGCCTTCTCCTCCACCCAATGTGGTAATGTAGCTACACCAGTTAAAAATTATCTGTGCCTTGTCTCCACTAGGCTTTTACAGCAAGACAGCTCTCCCAATGTTCAATCATAGTGCACTTTGCAGGGAGGACACAGCCTAGGTCAAGGCTGTCCAACTTCTAAGCCCTCAGGGGCCACATGCCCTAAAGACTGCAAACTACATGATTCGCACCAGGCAAGTACACATACACTCCTCCAGGCTGCATCATGTAGTCCCTCCCCTGCTGCCCAAAACATGCAGCCTGGACTCATCCTCAGCTCCTCACACTGCACCATACTGCCCCACCCCCTGAGGCAAGGACAGGAAGCAGCAGCCAGAGGAGGGAGGCAGAACCTGGAGACTGTCTGCTATTGCAGCTGAAGCAAAGGAGGGGTAGGGGGAGAGTGGTGGCTGGGTGACAGCCTGAGGGCTGCAATTTAACCCCAGTTAACTTAACCCCCTAGCTTAGGTGATAGTTGGATAGCCCTCACCTACCTCTTAATACAAGCCCTCTTTTACCTTTGGTTTACTACGTCTACCCTAGGGATTTATGCTAGTGTTCACGTGACACGAATGTAGATACCCTGCTGGTAGAAAAGTTTTTGAAAATGACAAATTCCCCAAGAACTCCAATAAACTAGCCTAGATTGGGGAACATAACTTCTGCTTCCTGCTGTGCAGGAAGTCAGTTTGTTGTTCAGGCTTCTCAGGCACAAGAGCCCTAGCTCACAAATTCCTTCCTGAGAGATGTATAGTTTGCAGAGCTTTTAGTCCAGCCAATGTGCTGGTAACATAAAAGGAGCTCATCAAAAGCTCTCTTTTATGGGAAGAAAGGTTTAATGCTCCCCAAGAATCTGTCAAAATTCAAATGATGACAGTACCTCAGGGCTTCTGACCCTGAAAGGACTTGTAACCTAGTAAGAAAACTTGTATCAAATTAATGTCAAGAAAACTGTTTCTTTAAAAAACTGCAAAATCTTAATGAAGCATTACTATCCCATGCTGCACTCTAGAGCATTTTTAAAGATAAGCAGAACATGTTTTGAAATTGGTTGTGTGATGCTTTTGTTAACTTACCCCTGAAGACTGCATAGTGGCCAGGCTAGCTGGATGAACCATTTGGACTGAAGAGGAGCTCCCATTCCGATTTAAAGAATGGGACCTGTTCCCAGAAGATGGACGCTGCATGTGTATTGCTGGTTTGGCTGAATAGGGACGTTGCTCAGCTTGTGAATGCATAGTTACGATTGAGATTGAACGGGGACAGCTGACTGAGCGCCTCATAGGACCTCTGGAGGATGCGGAGGCTGAATATGATAGACTTTTCATATTTTTATTGGAAGGCTTCCAGTGTATCCTACCTGCAAACAAACACAATGTAGGAAGCAATTACTTACTATCCCTTTACCACCTTTTCTTTTGTCTTCTGAGCAGAGTTTGTTCCTGTTGAGTAGTAAGATTAGGTTCCCTAATAAATATTTTATGTAAGTGTCCATTTCATTCCCTAAATCAGTCTTTATCAAAAGAGCTCAAATCCTCTTGCCTGTACACTAGTGTTGTCAAACGGTGCATGATTCTGAGGCCTCAGAATGACAGAATCTATGGTTGCTGAGTTTCCCTTACACAGGAAAAGATGGGGGGGAGATTTTGTTCATGGGTCCTATAGCTGCAGACCCAAGCTCCCATTCCGAAGGCTCATCATCCTTGCACAGAGGCATCACACTAATTCACTTAACTGATGTCTTCTCCAGTCCTCAGTGAATAAAATATACTGTTATAAAAAATAATTTTTTGTCAGTAGTGCCATAAATGTTTAGCTATAGAACAACCTCAATGCAATACTATTTTGACATTCTATTATAAAATACAAAGCAGCATATTGTACATACCAGGTTAGCTCTAACATTATACTCTCAAAGCTACTGGACTATCAAAATAAAATCTTATTTATATCTGGACAGCAGCCCAATCTGGAAAAATCTTACCTTCTGTGCTTTGTGAGACAAGAGTTAGTTTGGATTTAATTTCCCACAAAATTCATGCTTAATAGCTTAAAAAAGAAGTAACAACTTGACTGGCACCTCTGCTAGAATTACTATAAACAGAGGAGCATGGACACCACTTCTAAACATAGCCCATGTGCATCATTTTATTTAGAATTCTGGCAAAAAAAATGAAGAGGTGTTTTTAATTATTAATTCCTATTTAACTTGATCCGGGTTTTAAAGAATAAAACAAACCTGCTGGTGAAATCAGGTGATCCTGTGTCAAGATACTGCATGTCAATTTTCTGGCCTAATATTTTTGACACTGCTAAGTTCCACATAAAGGAATATCTTGTATAATTATGTGGGTGTACTGGATTTAAACAGAATTGCAATCAATTCACTTACCAGATCGTTCTAAGGATTTATATTTATTTTCTTCAAGATCATAGGTCACTTTCTTTTCTTTTTTCTCATTGTGATATTCCTTTTCAGTTTCTTCTTCCCATTCCGACATGTTGCTACTGCTGTCACAGCTACTTTCACTGCTATAATTCTTGTGTTTTTTTATGGTCTGTGCACTTTCTGGCATAGAACATAGGGGCTAGAGTAAAAAATAAAATATACATTAACTTCTTTCATAGTCTGAAAGGATCATTGTCATACCTAAGTCACCAACCAGGAAAGTCTATAAGCAGACACTTAAGCCCCACTGAAGTACACTTGAAGCACGTGCTTAACTTTAAGTCATGTGCTTACATATATTATTAAATTTGGACCTTAATGAGCCTTCATTGACAACAGAAATACACTTATAACAACTAATATTTACAAATTTTCACAAAATACTACAGCACATTTTGATGGAATCTCCACCTGACAGAGCAAACATCAGCACTTTCTCAGTGTTTCAAAATGTTGAAATTCCATCTTTTAATTGATTTTTAATCCCTACATCTTTTTATGCAGGATGATATACAGAAAACAAGTACAGCAGATAACTTTTGCCAATACATTTTTTAAAGAGTTAGGGGTGCACTGATAGAGATTTTGGGGGCTGATACCGATAGCCGATTTTTAAGGAAGCATATCAGCCGATATCGATCTGATTTCCGATACCAGCCCAGCAGCTTGAAGAACTGCATGTAACTGGTAAGTCTGGTATGCTAGAAGGGGAGGGGGGAGGGAAGGGGCGTGGGGAGGGCACATCAAGGCCCCCCAAGGAGCGAGGCTGGGGAAAGCACTGCCCACAGCCAGGGGGGAGGGGGCGGGCGTGGGACGGAGCCACAGCTCATCCAGGGGATGCGGGAAGGTGGGGTGCGGCTCCCTCTGCTGCGCACTGGTCATCTAGGAGTCACTGGTACGGCGCTCCCCTGGCAGCTCCCGCCGCTGCACCCGCTGCTCATCCAGGAAGGCATGGGTGGGGGGGTATACCCCTGGATCTGTGTGGGGCAGGGCAGGGTAGGCCAGGCCAAGAAAAGCCCTGCACATCCCTGGGCCCAGCCCGCCCTGCCCTGCCCTGCCCTGCGCAGATCCAGGGGCAACTGCCCCCACTATGCCCTCCTGAATGAGCAGAGGGAGCAATGGCGGGAGCCGCCAGGTGAGCACCAGATCAGCGGCTCCCAGATGAGCAGCATGCAGCGGCGGGAGCTGCCCCCCAGCCCACACTGCTCCATCCTCTGCCCGTCCTACCCCAGCTGTGGGCAGCACTTGCCCCAGCCCCTCCCAGCCCCAGCTTCACTCCTCCCACACTGCGGGGGCCTTGATCTGCCCCCCATGCCCCTTCCCTCCCACCACAACAGACTTACAAGCTGCCCGCAGCTCTCCAAGCTGCCAAGATGTGCTCTTCATTGCCTATATGCTGCACTGCAGCTGCATACACACACAGGCATTTATCAGCCAAATTATCGACCACATCCAGCCAATTTCTGATACGACCAATTTCTTTATATCAGTGCCTATCCAACATCAGACTGATGTATTGGTGCAGCTCTATTAAAGAAAAAGCAAGCCTGAATGGTAGAGAAAGCAGAAGCAAACAGAGGGTGCCCTACTATGTAGGTATCTTAAATACAAACACAGTATTATGTCAGGAAAAAAGCCAATTGCTTATCTGAGCCAAATGGCCCAGCAGGCTAATGTGGTTCAGGCATGCCAGTTTCTATTGCCAAATTACACACAGAAGTGTAATGGTGCTAACTTCATATCCATCCAACTTTGACCCCCCCCGCCCCCCCCCCCAGCCTA